TGAGGCCATTTGCTCTGGCAGCAAACAAAGAAGGCAGTTACTTGCAGAGGAGATGAAGACTGATCTGTGCTGACACACAGACGAGAGCTGAGGGGCCCACATCCCCTCTCCTGGGCAAACCACCCGGCCCCTCCGGTGCTCCAGCTGCTGCCAGGACCCCAAGAGGTTTAACTCCCCAATAGCTGAGAATTACCTTAAGCTCTTAAGGTAGAAAGTGCTGGAGGAATGCAAAACATTTTTTTCCAAACCCAATTTAGACGATAATTAATCCAACAACCAAAAACATATTTCTACTGTGTTGGCCAAAAAACACAAAACAAAACATGTTTCTTGCTTTGTTTTCAGAAGACTTCCCTCTCCCTATGAAACCACTCTCCATCCCTTTTCCCTTCCACCCCCACAAATTATTGGAATTCATTTCCTGGACCATCTCCAGTCTCCAGCTTTCTGGACATTTCAGAAGCTGCCAGATCACATCCAAAGCAACATGCAACGCTACCATCCATCCCCTTTGATCATGGCAGGCGATAGCTAGAATACACTTATCAGTCGCTCGTACCACTGAGTGCAGGTACTTGTGATCGTACATGGTAATGGGACGGCCGTCCAGCAGCACCTGCCCGTCTTGCAGAGGGTAGAAGTTCTCCAGGATGTTGACACAGGAGCTCTTCCCGCTCCCCGAAGGACCCACCAGCGCCGTCACTTTGCCGGGATGCAGGGTGAAGGACACATCCTGCAACACGGATGGGAGAGCATGCTCAGGTCCTGGCTCTTCCCAGGGTCCCCGGGCAGTGGCTTGGGCACTATGCAAGAAAGGCAGCTGAAATCCAGCCATCATGACCCTCCACCTTGGTGACGTGCCACGTCAGCCACCTCTCCTAGCTCTGAGGAAGCAAGAAGCCTCCAAAACTGCTTCAAATTTGCCTGCTGATGTAGCAGGATCTCTAAAAACTGCAAAGCAAACTAACCTCTTTGCTGCCTCCCCCTGTCCCGTGACCCCAGCCCCTCTCCCACGGAAACAGTCTGAGGCAGCTTGGCACAAAGCCCTGTACCATGCTGACGTGTTTAATGCCTCAGCAGGGAACAAGGGTTTTATTAATAAATCTCACTCCTTGCAAGGAAGGCTGGCCCCAAACACCCGCTGTTCCTTATAATCTGTTTTCCAGCATGCTGCTGAGCCTGCCTTTAGGCATCTCCAGACGGGCAGCTGACACCTCCCGCGGGCTGGGGATCGGTTATTGCGGCGATGGAGGAGCAGCGCGTGATGCCTCGTGGTGGGGAGCGCGCTGCGTCCGCGGGGCTCACCTGGAGGACCTGGGTTGCGGAGCGAGTGCGGTAGGAAAACGTCACGTTTCTGAACTCCACCTTCCCGTCCACGTGGTCTGGAGCCAGGGAGCCGTCGTTCACCATGGTTGGCTTGCGGTCGATGAACTCAAACACCTTCTCGGCAAACCCCTTCTCTGCAGCTCCCACTCCCTGCATCAGGCCGCTGTAGACAGAGCCAACGGACTGGAAGGGAAGAGGCAACAATGAGACCCTCCCATGCGATGGAAAAGGCAACCGGTGCGACTTGTAAGGAACAGCTGAACTATTCCCAAGTCTATAGTCTGACATTAACTACAGTCACCAGACACAGAAGAAGAATGCTTTTCCCCCTGTGCAATGTATAGAGAGGATATATGGCCGTATCCAGAGAAAGACCATCTAAAGGGGTTTGTGCATGGGTAGACCCAGAGGGGAACAGAAGAAGGAAACGCACGGATTAGGAAGAGAAGACGTGTGCCAGGAGATACACAACACAAACTTCCAACAAAATCCCCCGCGCATGTCTCTGCTCAAGACCAGCAGCTCCCCAACGCAATGGCTGGACAGAGTCCACTTACAGCAGCACATCGCACCAGCCTTCTTCCCTCGAGGGTGACAGAGCCCTGGCCCAGGCTGCCCAGGGAGGCTGTGGAGTCTCCTTCTCTGGAGATATTCCAGACCC